ACATTTTCTAATATATTTAGGATTTTCTGTTACATACATGTAGTCTAATTCTAAATAATTCACTTATTAAAGTAACTAAATGGCCCCAACTCATGAATAAATCAAGAAGTTGGCCTTGGATGAATAAGATTCAAATAAGTAGGTGAGTGAGGCCATAGATATACAGAAAGAAGACATATTACTATATTAGAAGTAGGAAACCACATTGATTTTAATGCTCTCAAAACATATTAACTCATCGAACATGAACTAGTAGTTCAAAGTGGCTGAAGCACAGGGCCTATGAAGAAAAAGATACAGAAAGAATAAGAGCAAATGATAAATTAGAACTAGTTTATAAATACCATTTAATGTCTAAGCTAAGAAGACTATATTTAATTTCTTACAGATTGTAATCATGAAGGATTACTTACAAAGTGAGAGAAAAATAATGATATTTAGATCTAAATGGACCTTAAAATCTATTATAGTGATTTTCAAAGGCTATGGGAAATCCTCATTAAGAACTATTTGGTGGGCAGGGGGTTGGATCAGAATTTGGGGATACTGACTTGTCAAAGGATCTAGGACACTGAGATCCCTTATTCAGAGCAGCTCTGCTTTTATCTGTTTATAATTCCACATAGCACTTTTTTGAACAAAATATTCCAAGGCTGACAACATTTTAAATATACCAATCTATGCCAATTTTTAAATTGTATTTATCAGAAATTTTTGAATCACTGTGAGAACTGTTGAGGTTGTGAATTTAACTTGCATTGTAATTTTGCAATCTGCAACATCAAAGTTTGGGTCTGAATTTTGGATACATCAGTCCCGAGGCTATGAGATAAAAGATTATTTTAGTCCAGCTACAGGTATTCTAGTTTTCTGATCATGCCTTGAACTGAGAATTTAAAATCCTAAGCATTTTTTTCAATCACAATGTAGGTATCTTCCCCCAGAGTCTTTGTGCTCACTGTTTCTTTGCCATTCTTTTCCAAAAGTCACTTGCACTCTCCATATTTGCCGTCCTTAGGCTCTCTACTCCAGGTAACTATAGGTGACAATTTAAGCGACTGTTTTGCCCATGTGTTTCATGGACCACCATTTTGTTTTACACTGATAATGAAATTACTACTGCCTTCAATTCTCTCTAGGTGAGACAACAACACAATCTTATTTTTTGGTGGTTCTTGAAATAGAAAGTGCTTCTGGTGCCAACTATTTCTATCAGTCAGGAGCAGTCAGGAAAACATCACTAGAGGTATTACAAATACAAGGTGATTTATTACAGAGACATAAAGACAAATGTTGGAAGGGCTGGTAAAGCAAGGGTCAGGAAGTTACTTCTGGCTTTCAGAATTTCCGGATATTCCAGAACTACAGAAAAACCACTGCTAATAATTATAGCTCTCTGCAACACCAAAGTCAGTGATTCTCAGCAGGATGCCCAGTTATTGCTAGAAGCTTCTGTTGATTATCACAGCTGCCTATGGCACTGAAGTGGGTAATTCTTAGGAGGATGCCTGAAAGCCACTGGCAAAACTCCCCTTCTGCCATCTGCTGATACTCTTACTCTAAGAAAAATAGGGAAGGTGCTGAGAAAGAACACCCAATAGATGGCACAGGACACGTGCAAAGACTGCTGAACCTGAGCTGATGGCGCACCCAGTCCTCACTTTGCAGAGTAATGAGGAATCATAAAAGCAACTGTGTAGGCTAAAACCTCACAAAATGATCTTAATGATCAAAAATAAAAATTGTAATTGTTTTACAACCTTTTAAAAACTTTTGAAAGTCTTAAAAACTCTCTGTCAGTGAAAATCCTATAGGGAAATGAAAAAATAGCTGAACTAACACTTATTTAGTACACAGCAATTTAAAGTTTTAGAAACACTGACAATTAACCTGTTTTATTTCTTTGTAGAAAATATGTCAAGAGTAGTGTGAATAGTGCTTGCCTTCTCATCATATAATTTTCTATCTGGAGAGAACATCTTTTCTATGTCTTGGTGAACTGCCATGCTCCTTTCTAAGTTTGGATCAGCCTCCAACATTTTATTCTTTGAACTTCTAATGCCATGAAATATATCTGAGAATTCCTTTAAAATGAAGTTTTTTGTCAACATGACTTTCTCTGGGACATCCTCGTCCTTTTTGTCACAACCACTTTCTTCATGTCAATAAGCTTGTCTTCCGCAAACTAGGGAACATCTAGCTGCATATCTAGAGTCTCTTAAACATTGGCAGTCTCAACATATATATATATAGATATATATATATACACATTATATATTATGTATATATTTATTTTATATATATTATCAATTAAAATGTATAGATGTTAAATAATGATGTCAATAATTGACACAGAAACAAGTAGTAGAAAAGTTGAGGAACAATGAGGAAAATGATTTTGAACCTTTTGAATTTTAGGTGCATAAGGCTAATCCCTGTGGAAATATTCAGCAGGCTGTTAAACTTTCATCTGTCTCTCAGAAGACTTAAGACACAGGGATATAAATTTGAATGTCATCCACAAAGAGGTGGTGGTAAATGAAGTTAGAAGATAAAATTGCTAAACTCAGACCCTTCCAAGAACTCCCATGTATTTGGTGTAGGGAAGACAATAAACCAAGAGAATGGTAGATGGCAGCATTCAGAGAGACATAAAAAAAAAATCTAGAAAATGCAAGTCATGTAACAAAGGGCAGTGAGTTTTTAGAACAAAAGTAACAATAACAATAACAAAAGGTAGGCAATGGTATGAAATGTTGCTGAGAAGTAAGGTAAGTCCTAACTAAAAAGCCATTAGATCTCCTATTAATGGTGATTCTTTAAAAGAAAACTGTCAATAAAATACAGGGAAGGAGAAGGAGACTGGAAAGATTCGAGAAGTGCGTGGTCAGTGCATAGTTGATGACTAGCTAAGGGGCTATATTTTTTTCAGTTTTGTCAATATTCAATTTATTCCCATGCCTCAAAGAGCTAAAAATAGACATATCATTTGATCCAGCAATCCCACTACTAGACATCAGCCCAAAGTAAAAAAAAAGATATTCTATATTTTTGAGATTTTTATAGATGAAGAAAGGAGGGCTATATAATACACCTTGAGAAAAAAATCATAGTCAATATTCTTAGGAAAAGAAAGTATATGTTTACTGTAGAGAAGAGCTAGTAGAGAGATAAATATTGAAATAGTTCAGAAGAGGTGGACAGGGTTGAAATTGAGAGAACAGGTGGAGGGTGACTGGGACATGAAGAAGGGTATTTCTCCCTGAAAGACAGAAAAGAGGGAGGAGGTATCAACTCAGATTTTTAGGTGATAAAGAGGGAAACTGGTGGAGCCTTCATTAGTGTCTCTCTTCACTGTGAAGTAGAATGGAGAGGTCACTGCACTGAGAGGAAAAGGGAGTGTCAAGTTGAGAACCAGTGTTTTTCATTATTGTGATTTTCATTAGGATTTGATAAAACATGCCAAAAAGAATTGTCTAGTAGTTGTTTTACCTCATCTGGTAGGTAAGATCAAAGGAATTTGACCCACAGATAAGCTGAATTTTTGTGAATTTTTTTCTATTTCAGTTCTTAGCTAAGAAAATTCCTTAGAATTGGAATGGAGAAAAGGAATGATAATATTTCTAGAGGGATAGTGATATAGCAGGTGGTAAAGCAAGAAAGTGATCTCTTTTAGTGTTAAAAAAAAAGCGTGTCTGAGTGAGAAGAATAAAAGAAGATTAAAAGAATTGAGAACATATAGTGACTATAGGACAGGGTTATAGAAAACACCAAGTTTATTGAAGAGTGGCAAACTATTCTTTGAAAAAAAAAAAAGAATAATTTTTCTTTATAGGTGTTCATGAATGTTCTCCAATGTCAAATACTTTATTTTCAAGTTCAAATACATAATTACATTCATGCAACTCTAGTGTGCCTCTTCAACCCCGCATGTTTACTCCTCTTCTAGAGAATTGTCAGACTGCAGGATCGTCTGCTTTTTTTCCTGGAAAGCTTTTTTCCCCCCTATGGGCTAATTTCTGACATTATTCAGTGTAATTTCATTTCTGTTTCTTTTCCATCAAATAGATTTTCCCAGAGCATAAAGAAAACAACTTATTATTGTGAGAAAAAGGAGAGTCTGCCTGTTTTCATTTTGTCTTAAAGAAATAAAATACAATAAGTTGGTACCTTTTGGTGAGTGAGCTGGAACAAGTTATATATCTTTCTTTCAACATAATCATTTCCATTTGGGCACAGGATTCTTGATAAACAATGAACTGGTTATGAGTAATTTCTGTGTATTTGTGAGTCTGGTATAGATATACATACATGAATTCTACCAACTACTCCACAATTCTTACTTTGGAATCACGTGGAAAAAAATTTTGATTAAAGAAAAGAAACCTAACTTGGATTAAGCTCTAAGGAGCACACAGATAATTTAATTCTTTTACATATGGGACCATAGTCCTAAACTGGAGATTGATCAAAGCCATTCACTTACCATATATGAGAATTAAACATTAAAGATTAAGAACTGTAACATTGATATATTCTAAAAACGTGTAAATATATAATCAACCTAAGGACACTGTATAATTGCTGAAGTTGTTATAACAGTAATTTTTGTATATAATTACTCTGTTTCCAGAATATAATCTTTGGTTTAGGGATGGAGAAATACTGTCCATAGCACAATGGGGTGGCAATGGGAGAGGACAAGGTGAGCATGCTGAGGCAGCAGACCAAGAAGCTTGGCATAAAGAAGAAATGGCTTAACTGAAGAGCAAGAGATAAATTTATATGTGAATATGTACACACAATATATCTATTGAGGCACAGCCCTAAATCTCTCCATGTTCACCACTGGGATATATAGCAATTCACCAGTAGTCAAAAGTTTGGTTTGGAAAATGAGCATTTATTGAAACCTTAAAATCTGTACCCCCATAATATGCCGAAATAAAAAATAAATAAAAAAATAAAAATAAAAGAGTCATGTAATAAAAAAAAAAAAGTGCTTTGGGTGTGTTGTTGGTTACATGCTGAAGAAAGCTGCAAGGAAAGGACACTCCCGTTATGATGCTTTTGAAACTCAAAAAGGTATCTTTAAATAGCAAAGCAAATGAGCTGGTGAACAGACCACAGGAGCACAAATTTGGCTGCACCTCAGGGATTGGTAATATTTAAATTTTTGCATTCACCTCCCAATTAATTTCCACATCCTTCTCATTTCCAAACTTCTCTTTACTCTGCTTGACCTATTTGTGAGTCTGTTATCCCCACTGCAGACCTCAGATTTTGATGTCCTTTTTATGCCGAAAATCTCTCTGCTCAAAAAAAAAAAGCCCACTTTAAATTTCCTTAAAGAAGATAAGAAAAGCATCAAGCCCATAGGCATATATTAGGTTTCAACACAGTAGCTGAAATGAATGTTATCTCTTGACCCACTGATTTCCCTTTCCCCTGAACTCATAGCCTATAACATTTCCCAGTGAATTATCTTTAATGTTGTTTCATTGTTATGAACATTTCAGGTGTTTTGTTTCCCTAACCATATTATCATAAAACTGTTAAGCTCAATTCCTTATATTTTACAGTTTGCTTTCTTTTTTCAAAGCACAGTGCAGTGTATAACATGGTTATACATAGAACATGCTAAACTAATTTTTTGTGTGAACAAATAATTTTTCCCACTGAAGAATTTGTACCCAAACATATAGTTTACCCCTTGATATTTTACCTACTCACTTTACAAATGGTTCATGCAATGCAGTTCATGGACTACAACATATTGAGATGGTAATCAAATTTTTCTTATATAGGGGCTCCAACTAGGAGGGCTGATCAGATTTAACTATTTCATTTGGCAGGTGAGGAAACAGGAAAATTTATTCAGATAACTTGAACTTACTGAAGATAAGAAAGGAAAATTATAGCAATACCCTGAACAAAAGCCACACAAAACTTAAGCAGGTTTGTCTTCTACCTAAAATGTGTCGTTGCCTGATTTTCTCTCCTATCACTATAGAAATTTAGTTTGTTTAAATTTTCTACAATATAAGTTTAAGCCATAGGAATAATTTCATTACTTTTGAACCTAAGTCACTTTCACACTTAATTCTTCATAAAAATGTTTCCTAGGGTATGAAAAGAATTAGAATTTCTTATGTTTGGACTGTCTTATAGTAAAGAGGTGGAAAATAGAATTAACTGCAACGAAATGGTATGTTATGCATCACTTTAAAAATTACTAGTTTTTTACTTCTTTTATTGAACTAGAGTTTTTCCTCATGATTGACCTTCAGATGATTCTGAATATTTTCCACCACAGAACTGAGTAGGCTAGTATCTGGCCTTTCTAGGTTATAAAACTACAAATTAAATTGACTTTTCCAAGGCTTAAGGTGGAGGTCATGGGATGTCTTTTAATGGAGACTTACAAATTGAATAGTCAAAACTTGCTGTGTGAAAGTTAGCATTCACCTGTAATCAAAGTCTATTTGTGCTTTGGCCTTGATAATTTCAGTGATGGCTTTATTGCTAGCTGATTTTATCAGTTGAATACTCCAGAAAAGGCAGTACTTTAGTCAAATGTAGATATGGAAAAGAATTGAGCGACCTAAAAACTCTAATACTAAGAAGTCAACATTTGAAGAAATTTCTTGTAGAATATCAGGTCAATCTTTCAAGAAATGTGTTACTTTATTATTATTGTTATTTCATCATATTATTGGGGTACAAATATTGTTAAGGTTACATATATTGCCTTTGCCTCCCCCCCCCATGCCGTGTCAGAGCTCCTAGTGTGTCCATCCCCCAGGTGGTGCATCACACTCATTACCTAACTATACACCCATCCCTCCCCCTCCTTCCCCTCCCACCCACCCAATGATCGATAAATGTTTCTTTCTTCTTCTTCTATTTTTTTTTTTTGACATTTTAGTTACATTTTATATCTTTGCCTCTCCCTAGGAAGGGTTAGAGGTATGCCCTCTCCCTTCACAATGCTCACCACATCCCTAAAATGTGGGTCTACAGCCCCAATCCCTGGTGAACACTACCACCATTTGAGCACCATAATGTTAATCGGTCAGTATCAATTTGATGGCGAGTACATGTGGAGCCCATTTTCCTGATCTTGTGTCGCCTCACTTTGGATAATGGCCTTAAGCTTAATCCAGGATAGTACAAGCAGTGCTAGCTCACTGTGGTTTCTTAGAATTGAGTAATATTCCATTGTGAACATATACCAAATTTTGATTATCCACTCGTGAATTGACGGGCACTTGGGTTGTTTCCATGTCCTTGCAATAGTGAATTGTCGTTTTTAAAGGCATAGTGAGAGCACAACATTGGCTATGTGTGATTGCCGTATATCACCAATATCATGTTCCTGAGGACAATGAAATTAGACAAGAAGCAGATAAGATGGCACTTTCCCTCAAATAGCTTAAAAATCTATTTGGAACGACAAAACAAGCAAATGATTTTATGTATAAAACTGAGAGAAAGGAGAGGTCATGGTAGATAGGAATATTTCACATGATTTTTTTTTTTAATTGAGACAGGGTTATAATTTGGCTACAAAGCAGAGCAGAATTTGGATTCCTCAATGGGAAAAGGAAGGTCAATTGAAACAGGTAAAAGAGTGTCAAGAATGGCACGAATGTGAGTAGGCACCTTATATGCCAGAGTACAGAGAGAGCATCAGCCACAGTATACTGGATCATGCTTGGTGGGGGGTGGTAGGGAGCAAGGCTGAAGGCATAGATTTATGAAGGACTTAATAGAACTGAAGAATGTACCCAGTGGAGAATCAATACTGTGTATGTTCTTGAGCAATGGAATTAGATAATGACATCATTCTTCTAAAAAGTTTAATCGTACTGATGCACAAAAATGATTGAAAGGGGAGAGAGGTGAGAGTTGGAGAAAACAGTTACAGATTTCCAACTGAACTATTGCTGAGAAAAAGGGAATGGAGAGGAATGCATAAATATAAGAGACATTTTGAAGGAAGACACAATTGAGCATTATGACTTAGCTGAAGAAAATGGAAATGAAAACACAGCAACATGCCAACCTTACAAATGACCAAATATCTCTAATGAGTAATAAAATGCTCAGTGTGTTTACTTAGCTCTGCCACCTTGACTGTTCAATGAATTTATTCATTAAAAGGTAATGTATCAATGTCAAGCCAATACGTAGGAGGCTAGCAAACAACAGGAAAGTGGCCTCACCTGACACTACTCTCAGACAAGGGAATTCATACCCATTATGTTTTACAGAATGCCCTTCACACCTGCAAAACACAGATTAAATCATTTTCATTATGATATAAAGCATTGCAGTTTCCCAACACTTTTTCTCTTACCCTGTGCAAAACCCCTTCTTTCTTTGAGTTTCATGCCATATTTAACCCCTCCTCATAGCTGTCATTCCTCAATCTTCTATTACTCTCAAAAAATTTTAAAGCACAGATACCTTAGTCATTATTGCCTTTATGGGCCAAGATCTGACAAGAGGAATTTATTCTTCTTCTCTGAAATTTTCAAATCCAATATGCCATTGTAGGACCACAATCTCTTATTCTTTCAGCCTCTCTCACACCTACGTTATTCCTGATGCCAGTAATTTCTCAGTGACTATTACCTTCACCAAAGGTGCTTTTGCCTTGACTAAAAAAAAAATTTGTAAACTACTTATATCCTTAACTCCCTTTCAAACCTCCCATGATACCAACAAAGAAAAACTCCAATCCCGAATGTATGCCACAATCTACCATCTCTCCTTACCTATTTGAGATACAGAATGAGCAAATCTATGATTGTTAACCTCAATGGGTCCCTCAAATTTGAGAACAGATTTTGGGAAGAGAATAAAAACAGATGTCTTTCACTTTAATATCTTTGCCCACTGTCTGAAAAAAGCAGCAAACTGCCAGTAGGCTAAGGTTTCTATAATTACTGTGTGTGTGCATGTTCATGTGTATACATGTGTCTACGTTTCTCTCTAGAGAAAAATAAGAATTAAATGAAAGAGGAATCAAATTGCTTATTTGACTATAAAGTACCCTCTACACTCCACCCCCTTCCAATTTCCTCTAATACCTTTTACTTCTCTAGTTTTTTGAGTGCACCTCCAGCCTTATACAATATCGGATCCTTTTCCTCCTAGGATTAAAAGTATCTAGAGGTTTTATAGTTAAGCGTGGTAGTATAATAATTACAGAGAGATTTCAGAATTAGAAATTTTGCTCCTTGTTTAAAACAATATTAGATAGATGAAAAACTTAAGGAAAACCATTAAGTTATCTGTATGTATATGTTTGTGGGTTCTACATGTTTATACTCCCAAAATATATAAAAATAAAAAAAGAACTTTAAATTGAATGTAACCTCATATTTGCACACTTCTCTGTCATTCTGAGTATTACAATATTCTTTTACTTAAGCAAGCCAAAGTCCCAACATGGTTCCTTGATTTTCTCATCAGAAGGGATTAGCGTACAAGTTTTCTTGACCTGAAAAGTAACCTTTAGCTGACAAATGCATGTAAGGAAATGAAAAACAGCAGTGTTTCTACTCTTATCCATTTCTTCTAGTCTCTTCTGATGTAAAAATGTTTCAGCTTTCAAAAAACTATTGTTTCATATCTGCATATGTTAAGGAAAGCTTTAAATAATTAAGGTGCTTTTCTGAAGTTAGCATACATATAAATCTAAAATTTAAGGCTAAAGCAATAAAGTATTCTCTTTGAATTAAAGCAAACTTGCTGAAATGATTCATTAAATCCTTAAAAATAATTCAAACTACAAGAATATACTAATGAATATTTCCTATATAGCTTGCAAATTAAGTTGAAAAAAATCTACAAAGACATAGCTATCAATATAGGAATTCTGATAAATCATACAGATCATAATTTTACTATAAAAGTTCATTAAAACATGACATTTACAAGGTTGTATACATTTTGAGTATATAATTAGGAACCTCACAAAGCCAATGATTTCATACAAGTAGATTTTCCATTTTGCTAAGCGTACTTCTAAATTCCCAAAGATATAGATTTATTGCAACAAAGTGTTATCAAAGGAAGCTAAGAGAATATAAAGGTTGTATGAAAGTTGCTGGTACCAAAATAGAGTCACTTATGCCAAATCCTAATAAAATGCAGGTGGGAGGCCAGCTCTCCTGCCTATATGCTTATAACAGGATTTAGCAGTACAAGACATTCCTGCACATAAGACAGTAACATGACTTTTCACAAGAAGCTCCTTAAGATTACAGTATTCCAGCTAGCCACCTGAATAAGGACATCTACCTAACAATGACCGTTTCCATCTTTGAACAAATCCCAATACCTAACATGAGCTTCCATGACTTATGGACTTTGTTTCAAAGCAGCTTGTGTAGTCTTCTCTTTGTTCTTAAACATATCTCTTTTGCCCCCACCCCCTTGGCTATGCCTATGATCTGTCACAGCATGTATATCTCAGATTGCAACCCTCTGCTTTACCCAAATAAACTCATTTGTTCTGGGGAGCCTGTCTCTCTGAGTTTCTTTTTAGGGTTGACAATTGGAATGTTTTCTTGGAAATACCAAAGTCTCATGTAGTTCTGTCACCTTGTACTTGGCTTAATGGCACCAGCCAAATAAAGTCAGACTCATGAATGGTTCAAAGAGCAATTGAATGATATTAAGAAGTACTATTTATTTATTTACTATCTAAGTGCTAATTTAAAAAATAAGAGCTGGCTGGGTGTGGTGGTTCACGCCTATAATCTCAGTATTTCAAGAGGCCAAGGTAGGGGGATAGCTTGAGAGCAGGATTTCAAGGCTAGCCTGGGCAACATAGAGAGAACTCATGTCTACAAAAAATAGAAAAATTATCCAGCCATGGCGGCACACACCTGTAGTCCCAGCTATTTGGGTGGCTGAGGTAGAAGGACCACTTGATCCCAGTA